GGAGTAGAAGAGTGATAGGACCGATACTATCCCATCAGAAGCATGTCCGCTGAAGATATTCCCACGAGCAGCAGCAAATCGACGAACGGTGCGGTGAACGGGACCAATCCGCACACCGTCCGCGAACCAACATCAACATCCTCCTCGTCCGGCTCGACCTTCACAGCCGTCAACGGGAACTCGATCTCGCGGCCCGTCGACTCGTCGTCGACAATCCGAGTCGCGGGGCCGCCGTCTTCTGCTGCTGCCGTTTTATCAGGACCTTCCGGGCCGCCTTCGGGGCCCTCATCCACCGTGTCGCAAGTGCACTCTCCCAGCCAGCAACTCTTGCAGTTGCAGCACCAGTCGTCGTCCGGTGGTCATCACCAATCGCATCACCAACATCAACATCAACACCACCATAGCAACAGCATCAATTCGAACAACGCGAACAGCACGCACCACAGCCTCCACAACCTCCACAACCATCAACGCAGTCAGACTGCTTCCCACGCCTCGCAGTCCGGCAGCGGTGAGGAGGACGCCGGTGACCACAGCGACATCACTGGTTCCAACCTCCAGTCGCCCGTTACACCAAACTCCCATCCCGATCCAAAATACATCCAGGCCGCTTCCGACAGGCCACTCTCCGTCAGGCCGTCGGGCAGCCCTGAGAGCAACCATCAGAAACGGAAGCGGTCAAACTCTATCGAGGGAGCGATGAGGGTTGAGGCACACGGCCAAATTCGCGATATGTCTAGCGACATTGTGCACCCGCAGTATCACGGCCACAGCATGCCAATGACCAAGGATACCCGTATGACCGATGCATCTGCAGATTCTCTCCGTGATGAAATGATGACGGACCGCCATGCCAGCGAACATATCGCTCAGAGAGCTAGCGAAGAAGCCGCCAAGCTGGAGGATATGCGGGCTCGTGATCCCGCTAACTTTGAGGCTCATGTCACTCAACTTCAGGGTACCCCTCAGGGCGACCATATTCGGACCTTTAACGCCAATATGTCTCCAGGATTAACGCCCATCAATGGTACCAATCAAACTCCTCCAGGGCAGCCGGAGACCAAGCGAAAGCGCATTTTTAGCAATCGAACGAAGACCGGCTGCATCACCTGCAGACGGAGGAAGAAGAAGTGTGATGAGGGAAAGCCTCACTGTAAGTAGCCTCTTCCATATTTTTTTGGTCCTTACTTTCACGGAAGCAATTTCAATCTGACACATTATTATCGAATTCTCAGGCAACAACTGCAATCGTGGAGGATTTAAATGCGGTGGATATGCTGGTAAGATTAATCCTTTTCTGGGACCACTTACTCCCATCGACGCTCCCGGACATCCACATTTACAAGCCGACGTCTCCGGTTCGAGCTCCATCCCTCCTCTCTCCGGTTCCATTTTTGCACAAGGTCAACAAGCTGATTCGATCTTGGCAAATGGTCCAGCTCCTATTAACGCCAGCTTTGCTACTATGACTACGCCCGTCATGCGTACCGACCGTTCAGCTGTGAGTGCAATCTTTCCAACCTTTTCTGTCCAGAGATCCGATGATTGATTCATTTGCCATATAGCCTCTTCCGCCTCTCGATTACACTCGCCCACAGCCGAATCAAGTCGTCGTCCAGCACACAGCTTTGCCCGGTGAAGGAAAGCCTTTTGGTGCCACCGGATTACCTCTATCAGGTCCTGCTCCTCCACCAGTTCAACCGATCAGACGCGATTCCCAGGTAGCACCACATTTGCAAGGTCCGGAACCACCAAAACCACCACCACAAGCTTCTCCCTTCTCCGGCCCGCGAGTTCCGCCTCAACCACCTTTGCCACAGAGATTCTCGTCAACTGAAAAGGAAAGAATGTTGAACGGAGAGCTTTTCCATGCATTTACTCCCGAGCTGATCGAGGAACGAGAAAGATGCCGCGCAGCATGCTGGAGGTTCAACAATGCTGCAAACCCAACTCTTTGTATCTCAAGAGAGGAAAAATTGCGTCTACAAATGGAAATCTTCAGACCAACAGCCGGGACAAGGGGTCCTCAAGGCACGGCATGGCACGGAGATCTTGCGAACAGCCACCTTAGGAAAAATCTTGGTTTGCAAGATCCAGTTTACCCAGTCAACGAAGAGCCCTGGATTGAAGTCCCATTCATGTGTGATTACGGTTACAATATTACCCTTGGACCTGGCGTTTTTATCAATTTCGGCTGCACGATCATTGACACCTGCGCTGTAAGTGGATCCTAGACGCAAACCGAGTGACTAAAACTTCGTCTAATAGTCAAAATTAGGTTACTATCAAAGCTCGAACCCTCATCGGGCCAAACGTCAACATTTACTCTGGTACTCACCCACTCAATCCTCGGACTCGCAACGGGACAAAGGGTCCTGAATTCGGAAAGCCAGTCATTATTGAGGAGGACTGTTGGATCGCCGGAAACGTTACTATTCTGTATGTTTTCACTCGCAAGAATATCATACTAAGAAGGATTTACTAACAAAACTGATTTCGATAGTCCCGGTGTCAAAATCGGTGTTGGTGCAACAGTCGGCGCCGGCGCCGTTGTCACTAGAGATGTTCCCCCACACACTGTTGTCGCTGGAAATCCTGCCAAGGTGATCAAGGGAATCATGGAGCACGAATGAACTTCACCCTCAAACTGCAGGACACCTTCGAATCCTCATAAAACTTTCATCTTCTCTGACAGGCACGCTGTTGCGCGACCTTTATGAATTTCTTTTGAATTCAAATCTCTACTAATCTCTATCTTGCTATATTTCTCTTCTCTACAATTTTTATTACATATATGTTTTCAAAATCTGTATTCTTCCTATTGTAACGGCCATCTTGCACGGGTATGTTTTAACGACAAAAAGAATAATCTAGGGTCGGGGAGTGATGCGGAATTCGTCCAGGCGTTAGAGACTTTGCTTTGGTTCTTTTTTTTTTTTTCAACATTTTATTTTCCTTTCCCTGTTGTTTCTCTAGCTTAAAGATTACAGAATCATCTAATATCTGATTTATGAGATAGCCCTGTTTGCTTTCTGTTTTGTCTCTTCAAATGTTATTATTTCTTTTGGGTTATATCTCCTTGTTTTTATGGGTTGAGGAATTCCGCATGACTCGTCGACTCTAGAAGGGCGTTAATTCTGTTACACCTGGAATGATTATATACCAAAAACAACCCCTCATGCATCTAATACAATCTCACTATATGTCTGTTTTCTTTGCCCTGTCTATTCAAGCTAGCAAGGTTTTTCCCCTCTTTCTTGGGGGTCTTTTCTCTGGTCCTCTTTACCTTGTACAAGAAGTTTGTTTTTCTTCTTTGTAGACATATCTAAACCTTTCTCACAAACGGAAATACCCATGTTTCTTTGGAGGGTCTTCCGGGAAACGCCCCAATGTTCAATCATCGGGGTGTTTCGCGAAAGACTGGTCTGGGTGGGATGGTTTACTGATTATTCAGGTCCTTTTTTTTGTTTCCGTCTTCTCTTCGATTTGCCACGGGCCCTTTTTTTTTTGGTTTTATTCCTCCGCTGGCGCGATCAGTTTGTAAGCTTGTTCGCGAGCGCTTTTTTAAATCTCCGTCTGACCACATTCTCTCTTTCTCCATGTTGAAACGGTTAGCACAAACTAAAATATTCTGCTTGCCACCTACGGTCTACGCTAGTGTTATGTGTGCATGTGTGTGATTTGTGTATAGTGTTTTTATTTCATATCTTTCTCGCACGAAGTATATGCAAGGAAACCGGTTCCTTAATTTGTTCTGATCGGAGCAAGATTGTACATGCGTGCAGATATGCATATTTCCCCCAAAAATTGCGTTCATGTGACATACAATTTGTATGATTATAAATGAAAATGGATTTTTTTAATTAGTAGATCCTAAATCTCAGAATCTCCATCCTTCCCCCTGACAAAAATAACATTTTGAAAAAAATTAACAAGGTTGAGGAGTGGGGGGAAAAAAATACCCCCGTTATAAGCGCTCGCAGCAGGTACCAGTGCTATAAACATCCGCCCGCCTTCGGATGTAATATTAATATGCACACACACCTGATGCGTATACCGCCCCACCCTCGCTTTTTGATGTCCATGTCAGCCTCATCTCCAGACCGACAAGCGAGGCCCCGCGGAGGAAGTGTCAAGATCCGAGTGCGACCATAGTTTAAATACAAGATTTCCGTGTCGTGGCCGGTATCTGGTTTACCGCGAGTGCGAATAAATTGCGAGTGCGATCGCGAGGTCCAGCGGGTTGAGGACAGATAAATAATTAAAGAGGATAGTCATTTATGAAGAAAGTAAGTGGTTGCTATTTACTCCCTTAAGGATCGATACTGATCTAGATTAGTGGTGGCGGGCAACCCAAGGATAACCCGGAAGCTTGGAAAACGGATGATTCGAGTATTTGGGGGCCAAGAGGTCGATAGGGTAGGTAGTGCCGTTGCGAAGGGGAAAGCGTGGGGAAATTAACGGAGGATATTATTATATACAGGTGTCCTGTCCTTGAGATATTTCAGGAGCGCTCGGTTACGGAGTTTCCCGTATGCCGGTCTCGATCGAGATCTCGCAAGCTTGGCCTCGCCAGTCAGCCCTATATTTTGGGAATGAAACGAAAAAAATATTCGGATCGACCGAGGCGTGTATCATTTGTTATTGTTGTCTATGTGTTGGTCTCACAGCCTGCATGTCTACCTCGGTGACGTGACTGATGTCTACCTATCACTTTACGATATTGCTCAGAAGACTCATTAACACATTCCACTTCTTGTAAATTAACAGATAATCTTGATATGCAATGGGCAGCCATCTTAATGCAGATGGGATTCTGTCTGGTTGAATACTTGGAGCGTGAGACAGCCCACCGTTTGTCACATGTAGGATAATCCGCTCCAAACATCCAAAAGAAGCAGAGGTCTCTGGATTATATTAGAATAGGCGATTAGATCCGCTTATCATCAACGGCGTCTATATATACCGCCGTTTGCAAGATAAGTTTTGAATAGACGCCGGTCCGCGTAGAGTAGTGGTCATCTCGCCAGAATCACATCTTCTGAGGCAGGCTCAGAATGACGATGTCTCTGGATATCGTGGGTTCGAACCCCACCGTGGGCAGATATCCTTTTAGTGGTCTTGAATCCACATTCTTTTTTCCTTTGTTCGTTATCTTTTTTTTTTTCTCTCGGTGATAGTTCTGCAGCGTCCCGTTGTGTAGAACCAACAATTGCTGAAGAGGAGAAAACCGAAATGTTGGATTTTGTGCGTTGCACGTGATGTTGTCTCCAACCAATCAGAGACCGAAGATTGATCATTCGTGACGGCATGTCCAACCTCACCTCTCCTCCAACGACTCTCGCCCTTGCCGCCGCCGCCACCACGATCTAACTCTATATCACCACATCTCCCGTCTGTTCTCCCTCCTCGATATCACCATTACTCTGGCCACCTATAAACGGACAGCAATGGCATCGATAATACCCAGACGTGTCTTGACAGCGCGGGGCGCTGCCTCAGCTCTTATCCCTCGAGGTAACCTCTCCTCATATATATAACTCCACGCCATGACAGCCCCTCGTCCCTAGCGCTAACATTCTTATAATACGCAGCTTCGTTAGTACCAGCCCTAGCAACTCAATTCCCACAGCCTCGCCGTGATGCATCGAATCTCGCAAACGTGGGCACCAGCATGGTTAGGCGGGAAGTCCCACTCCCGAGCCAGCAGAAACCAGAAGGTGTCGTCGACTACGCCTTGTACGTGATAACACGCCCGCCACCCATATACCTGACCCTGGATATCATATCATAAACCTTACGCTACAGTATAACTCAATGGCTAACTCTACCATAGAACTACCCTCGATGCCATCGCAAATTGGGCTCGCCAGGGTTCACTGTGGCCTATGACATTCGGTCTCGCCTGTTGCGCTGTGGAGATGATGCATCTTTCAACTCCAAGATACGACCAGGATCGTCTCGGAATCATTTTCCGTGCTTCACCGCGTCAATCGGACGTGATGATCGTAGCGGGTACCCTGACAAACAAGATGGCACCCGCGTTACGACAGGTGTACGATCAGATGCCGGAACCGCGATGGGTGGTCTCCATGGGTTCTTGTGCTAACGGAGGCGGGTATTACCATTACTCGTACTCGGTGACGAGGGGGTGTGATAGGATTGTACCGGTGGATATTTACGTTCCTGGGTGTCCGCCGACAGCCGAGGCTCTGATGTATGGGATTTTACAGTTACAGAAGAAGATGAGGAATACAAAGGTGAAGATCTCCTTCCCCTCTCTTTAGTTTCAACAATTTGTCCTTTTTGGCTTTTCCGGAGTGCTGAATTTTACTGACTGATTTGTTTGACGATAGATTACAAGAATGTGGTATAGAAAGTAAACTATAAGGTTTGTTTTCTTGCATATCTTCTGCATCATTGTTCCATTGTTAGATAGATAGGCGGGTAAATTTCTTGCCTGAAGTTTGTTTCTCCGTCCAAGTCTTTTTCATTACGGAATTGACGACTCCAGCGAATGAAACTTCCATCATATTCTCTCGTTGAATATTCGAATACTTGTAAATACATTTTTTCTTTCCTTTTTAGTTCGTCTACTTTTGGGGTACAGCGGGTAGGTTACGTGGTGTATTTATAAAGGACAAATTGTGTTATCAAATGTAAGGTTTGATAAAACTAGATATATCGATTTGAATATCAAAGAGAGGTGCCCTAGTATCCTTGAATTTTCAGCTAGTATAGGTCTAAATTTTTGGCCATTTTCCTCATGAGAGAAAATTACCAAGCTAGTTACAAAAATTCATATGAATTCCAGATGCCGAGGGTATTGGTTTTCAATTCAACTTCAAGGATTAAGGGTAGTCATAATATCGTATATTGTGTCTCGTGCTTCGCGGTTGCTCCACGAGAACAGTAATATCTATATATATTCTGAGTCGCACTCAGATAGTGAAGAGAGCCTCTTACAATCTTGAATTGCCTACAGGACTAGCATAGAAAACATGAGGACAACTCTTTGAAAGTAAGAACGGATATAACTGAAACTAAACTCTAGAACGAAGTCTTGTTCGCAAGCTGTATACAGTCTTTACATGTTGAAAAGCCTCCCATTGTTTTTATTTTGACTCTATAGTAACCTCTCTCTATTCTAGTTTTATGGTATACCAATATTTATTTTATGGATCTATTGAAGTCCATGCACATTATAATTACAGCCTACTTTGTCAAATATTTCGGAGAAAAATGCTTTATCCAGATTCAAGGTCTAGTGATACTTCCAATCAAAGAAATACAAATGAAGAGCACGGTACACGATGAAGGATATATATGATAAGCATTGTATCGAGAGTTCAGAATTGAACATACACTTAGAAAAAAGACGATGGATATAATACTAATTCTCTCGTTCATTTTCAACCCCAAAAACAAGGTTGCGGATTTATGAAGGCTATAGGACCAAAAGCATCAAAGCTGCAAGAAATATCATCATTGGTATCTGATTGAAAAGCTATCGAACAAAAAAAAACACAATGAAACAAAGGAAACGTTCGTTGATGAGAGTCGGAGAAAGATGAAGGAGGGGTAGGAAAAGGAAACAAGTAAAAATGCTGTAGAACAACCTCCGACCTGAAAAATCCAATCACACAGAATATGCAATCGGGGAGAGAGAGATAGAGCAAAAAGGAGGATCCTGTACTCGAATTTCCCGATAAAAAGAGGGGAAATCCAAAGGATCTAGAGAGTAGATATCTTACAAAAGATAAGGAAATAAAAGTGAACGGAAGAAGGAAACCGACGTTAGGGTCTCTGACCTCATTGATGCCCCTTCCCACAATACCTGCCTAATAAACCAATAGAGAGAAAATAAGACAAAAAAAGAAAGCGGGAAAGTCAATTGGAGGAATTAGGGGGAGATAGTTATCTCAAAAAACTCCAATTTTAGATGATCCGAACCAAAGAAACCGGTGAAGAAAGAGAAAGCTCCGAAGTAGCTGAGTGGATGACAAACGAAAAAAAAAATAAACAAGACATAGATTATATCAAGAGTAAAATCAAGCCTTTGCCTTTGTTGTTTTCTTTACACCTTTGCCATCGGTTCCCCTGCAAGTAGATACGTAGTTAGTATAACAAAAACTTTATATTGCATGCATAGAGATATCATGTAAATTGGTGCATATGACTTACTTGATTTTCTTTGTGCCTGCAGCCTTGACGGCGGGCTTCCTGGTGACGGTTCCCTTGACTTTCTTGGCCGCACCGACAACCTTATCCTTTACAGTTGTCTTTCGCTTCTTAGGAGCAGCCTTTGGTTTAGTGACACCGGAACTGAAGACGGTGCGGGGGATGACGGTTCTGGTAGATCGACGGGTTGGCTCGGTGGGGGTGGTTGGCTTCTTCTTACGCCCTGGACCAGCCTTCTTCGTCGTTGTGGTAGTGGTTGTAGTGGTGGTATTGGTAGTGGGTGCCATTTTACCTCAAGTATTTATTTTTTATCTTGCTTTTCAGAAGAGTGGTTGTTGAGTGTAATATCAAATGGAAGTGGTGAGATGTGGTTTAAGCGGCGGTTGTGTGCGATGATACTATTTTTTGTTTTCCGAGGGAAGAAAGAAGTAGCGGTGTTGGCGAGGAGGATTCGAAAAATAACAAGTAACCCCTCTTTGATAACCGGAGATATAAAACACTCGCGATGAAAACTTGGGGGATTTTTTGACAGAAATAAAATCTACGGTGAACGGCGACGGTGGCTCAAGTAATTTTACCGGAGAAAATTCAGAAGGGGGTGTTTTTTTACTTTTCACGAAGAAACGGATGGGAGCGATGTCTTTTTCGTGCAGCTGAGGGAAAAGCGAAGTGGCTGACGAGAAGCAGAAGGAGGAAAAAAGAGAAGTTCGAGTCGGCGGGGTCCACCAAGATGGACAGACGGCAGCTCGTCTTTATATAATAAACAAAGTCTTAGCTTAGCAACCGATAGTGATCCTCTGCTGCTGCTGCTGCTAGTTAATTCGCACTCTCTCTTTTTTTAAATTTTAATTTATCTTAATTCCTTTGTTTTTAATCCCCACACCCACACTTTTATTTTTCATGTTTTATTCGAGGCGAATGTCGAACGGGCGGGTGTGTTCGCTCGCCTTTTTTCGATTTGTTTTGGTTTTTACTTCTTTATCGCTCATAACATTCATTCTCTCTCTCTCATCGTAAGCGTCGTCTTACTCCGGATCCTCTTTGACTTATTATCGCTATTATTCTACCTATTTCTATTCTCGCTGACTCACTGTTATTCGAAGAGATAGAACCCGTATCTTGTTTGCGCTGGCAAAATTGCAAAAAAAAAATACATATATGCACTAATTACCACCAGACCCAGCCGCTGATTAGATAGAATGAGTGCAGACTCAATTATGTTTCTGTGGTAATGTTCCAGCGCACGTGTCGCCGGCCTTTTCGTTTTTCCACGATCCAAATGACGGATACTGAAGTGATAAATCGGCTCGTTCCCCCATCGGTTGGACCTTAAAATGTCTGCATGTCTGCATGTCTGTAGGAACCAGGTCCAGGTTTGTTAGCCGGTTGCGACGTGTACAAGCCTCCTCTTCATGCAGGTTCGGTTCGTAGCTTTCTTTTCCAAAACACACCCTTTTTTTATTTTTTATTTTTTATTTTTCCCTTTTTCGAATTTGAATATTTCCAACTCACTCCTTGTGCTCTTGCTCGCTGGCTGCAGCTTTGAAACCTCCCCATGGAGGTGCCGAGTGGGTGGGACTTGGACTACTCAGGCTGATGAAATGATACGATAACTCCTTTATCTGGTTGGGGTTGGTTGCTGGGCGGGAGGAAGCATGGCATACCCACTTCCCTTCGAGCCTCCATGCACGAACAGATAGACTAGTTAGTTGTTCGATTGAAACGAATCATGTCTTTATGATTTTCTACAGATGTATTCTATATTACGTTATATCCGTCCCGTCTGTCCTGTCGCCCGGCAGCGAAATCGAAGGAATGCGAGATCAAGATTGGTAAACGCTCGTTGCACTGTATCGCGCAATTCTGATAAGATTTTAATTGATCATGAGGAGAGCTGAAAAAAGCATCCACGTGCCCTATCC